TAAGGCTTATCCTTGCCTGGCGAATGCCGGGTCTATTCGGACCCGTACATGTACGTCTGCAAAATCACGACTGTTCAAATTCAGAAAACACAAACGTCTAAATTCTATGTCGATTCCACTGTCAGTTCGTCTGAAACAATTAAGTTCGATAATTGATAAAAATAATCGTTACACGCTAAATCGAATGAATAGACTCGCTATCCGTCGCGCAAGAATTAAATTATGAGAATGGAGTTTTAGGCTAGGCTTAGATGATCGAGTCGAGTACAAATGCGGCATTTTATCTTTGACGCAGTGAAAGATCATAAATCATGCATAGTCATTTCCTGCACTCTAAGGTGTATGAATTTTGCAAAGGAAATATAGTGGCAGTTAGAAACAATTTTTGCGTCCATTTCAGAGATGTTTCATCGTCTGTATGTGCAAAATGTGGTTGGACCGTTTTCATAAAGAACGACTATAAATGCAGGACTATAAAGGTACAAAATTTCATCGAAATCGATCGTTGATGATTACGTAATGTTCCTTACTTGTAAACTGCGGATCTGTATATAAAATAAACATTTTCCTCGTCGATTATATAAAACAGATAAAAATGTATTTTTATTGTATTAACAGTACCTTTTATTAAACTCTTCTTGAGCTTTCACAGCAGTGTTTCGTTTATCTATCTTCGATATAAATGCGTAATATCTGTAGACCACTTATTAGTTTCATGAGTGCACATTGAACTTGATAGCATCGCTAATGATATTCATTCGTATATTGTAAATACATAGCACTCGACTTGAATTTAACGTCGACACGTATTTTCAAAATTCATTCGTTCCTAAATAGATGTTTATTCGTGCTGTTTGCAATATTGAATTTTGATGGTACTGCAAGTAGTTCAAAGATGAAACCAATAATACATAAAGCGTTAACCGCTCAGCCACAGTACACTATAGCGACTTCTTTCGATGTCATTTCTTTGAACGATACGACACTATTATACTTCAATTGTATCTGCGTTTCAAACCTCTTACGTTGTGAAACCACGTGAAGCAACTACACTTTCATTTCTATTCAACTGTTATTTCATTTGAACATAAGCGTAATGCGGATTTTATACATTCATGATAATAGTAAAATTGAATAAAATTTTAATAACAATGAAATTATAAATAACGAAAATATTAAAAGAATTTAAGGACATCTACGTATTATTTCTAACTCGCTAGAGTCGTTAAAGAAAGAAAAACATTCTTATTTGACCGATCTTTGTCGCAATTTATGAAGATAAGTTTTACTTTGCATAAAAATCCGCAGTCTAGCAATGACGCGTACAGTGAACAAAATTATCGGCGACAATTTTTCAGCCATTGTCTAGTAAACTAATCCATCTAACGTGCACGAAAAAAGAAACTTGGATCGGCCGGCCTGATCATAAAAAAGTTATTGCGTCTTAAAAAGTGTCCGAATACTTTTGGACGCCGACCGTACGTATTTTCATCGACGGTGCAATTGATTTTGATGCCGCCACCTAAAGCTCGACGCCCACCGATAAAAAAGATACGTATCAAATATTCCTGGCCAGACCCATAAATGCGCAAAGGTTCATAAGAATTGCTAATCGCCGCGGCGTTTGGTCGACGGTCACAGTTTGTGATAGCAAGACCGAGTAAAACTGGAGGAAAAAAAGAAATTGTTGACCCTATATAGCAGAAGACCGGGCCGGTGTGCTAGCCTCGGGCCTGTCGTCGCGTGAGATCTGGGTTACGTCGACGTAGGGGACATTCGCACAGGGGCCTCGTAAAATTCACGCGGCTCGTATAATCCGGCTCTAACGGCTGCGAATCCAGACAGATTAGACTTTTATAGTTCGCATAAATTCCGCGACTGGTGGGTGGGACGAAGATACCGTTCGCACCGTGTATCGGCCGTTATCGTCGCTATTTCGATGATTGTAATAGCGCGATCCGGATGTTCGTCGCGGCGCGGTATATCGGCGGGACAACGGGGCCCCTATCGTGGCAACTTTCGATGGCGGATCAACCGGAGTTCATGGAAATCGACGAGCCGACGATGCCGATACCGTCGACGCCGAATCGCAGAAAACCGGGCATTCGCGTGCAAATAAATCCGCTTTATCAGACCCTCAGGGCTGGGTCGGCGGCCGGCGGCCGGCCACCGCGGCTGTATCCGGTTCGTGCTTTTTGCAAGGAACGGGGACGAGATAACGGCCGCCGAAGTTCTCCGAGTACTTCATAATCGACCAGGGAATTAAGGAATTCGCAATTTGTCCGGCGGAGCAGGTGCTTTGCGGTGACCGCGCGATAGCTTCATTCAGTCGTTGTACGAGATGTTGCCGCGGTATCGAGGTTCTTATCTGCGAATTTACGGGCTCGTAGATTTCAATCGTCGGCTATCGCGCGCGCTGACGAAAGAATCGCAGCATTTTATTTTGGACACTGATTATCATTGGCAGCTTGCATAAGCTTCTACTGTTCTTATTAACCAGTTAACTGTGGCGATCTCATTGCAAAACGCCCACCAGCGTGTGTCGCGATAATCAAGCGATGACGGGCGATGAATCGAACGATGGAGCGATGAGTCCAACTCAAATTATTTATAATTTTCATTTGTTAATTTATATTTACGAATAATGTGTTATAATTAATATTTACGAATATAATTTCGTTTTCGCTAGAATTACAATTTAAATATCAAATTGTAACAAAATTTTACGAACGACGGATATCATCGTCATGACACAAAATTCTGCCACATCTCCATGACGGATATAGTCGTCGAACACACTTAACTGGTTAATTGGTGTTGGAACGACTGGTAATTGTATTTATTCTGTAGACTGCGGATCTTTGTGCGAAATAAAAATTGTCCAAATGTATTGTAAGAGACATGTATTAGGTGGAAATGTCTTCTTTTTAATAATTGCGATGATTATGATTAATGCTTTAGGTGCAGTTTTGTATTGACATAACTGCATAAAATCCGCAGTCTGTTGATTTGAGATGGTATAGCTTGTACATGATAGAATTAAAAACAAGATTAGTGGGATGTGTTATTTAATTCTAAAGAAAGAAAGTGCAGTTGAAAGTCATCATTTTTAACGGATCGACATCATAATTTTTATATCGATGGAAACAATCTCTGCAACTCTTCTCAGATAGAGCATCGTTACCGTAATGTTCTGCAAGTAAAGATGACATTCAACAGGCAAATCAAAGCACCCCTATTATATTATTTCAGTTTTAACAAGTTTTTATGTCGAGGTTGATAAGTTTTGACTTAAGTGCTCCTTGATTGTCACAGATACATTAGCGAATCGTGTTCAATTTACTGATTGTCGTTAATTCCGCGTCTCCTCGTCCGGTAAAAAGTACTCGTTTATGTGGCAATAGCATAATTTGACGCTACTAAATCTTTCTTAAATTACCAAATTCGTTTTTNTTATTTTGGACACTGATTATCATTGGCAGCTTGCATAAGCTTCTACTGTTCTTATTAACCAGTTAACTGTGGCGATCTCATTGCAAAACGCCCACCAGCGTGTGTCGCGATAATCAAGCGATGACGGGCGATGAATCGAACGATGGAGCGATGAGTCCAACTCAAATTATTTATAATTTTCATTTGTTAATTTATATTTACGAATAATGTGTTATAATTAATATTTACGAATATAATTTCGTTTTCGCTAGAATTACAATTTAAATATCAAATTGTAACAAAATTTTACGAACGACGGATATCATCGTCATGACACAAAATTCTGCCACATCTCCATGACGGATATAGTCGTCGAACACACTTAACTGGTTAATTGGTGTTGGAACGACTGGTAATTGTATTTATTCTGTAGACTGCGGATCTTTGTGCGAAATAAAAATTGTCCAAATGTATTGTAAGAGACATGTATTAGGTGGAAATGTCTTCTTTTTAATAATTGCGATGATTATGATTAATGCTTTAGGTGCAGTTTTGTATTGACATAACTGCATAAAATCCGCAGTCTGTTGATTTGAGATGGTATAGCTTGTACATGATAGAATTAAAAACAAGATTAGTGGGATGTGTTATTTAATTCTAAAGAAAGAAAGTGCAGTTGAAAGTCATCATTTTTAACGGATCGACATCATAATTTTTATATCGATGGAAACAATCTCTGCAACTCTTCTCAGATAGAGCATCGTTACCGTAATGTTCTGCAAGTAAAGATGACATTCAACAGGCAAATCAAAGCACCCCTATTATATTATTTCAGTTTTAACAAGTTTTTATGTCGAGGTTGATAAGTTTTGACTTAAGTGCTCCTTGATTGTCACAGATACATTAGCGAATCGTGTTCAATTTACTGATTGTCGTTAATTCCGCGTCTCCTCGTCCGGTAAAAAGTACTCGTTTATGTGGCAATAGCATAATTTGACGCTACTAAATCTTTCTTAAATTACCAAATTCGTTTTTAACACGTCGTCTGCATTTGATACATTTGTAAAACTTTCGAGGAACTTTAGATACTTTATAATAACTTTTTCGCAGTCTCGTCGTGCGATATTTTATCGCACTTCGAGTACAAAAACGTCCGTGTAACCTGTTTAAGCGATATTTTCATGGAAACTTGCGCATACAACTTTCAAAAAGCGTTCTCGTATCGTAAACTCGAAAAATAAGGGCGTTAATGAACGTCGTTAAAATAAAGGATGGGCAAAGAATACGTTTCAGTTTACCGCGGGAATATGATGGCAAATAAACAGAATAATATCCATACTAAACCTTGCGGAAATCATCGTAAAGTAATCGCCGAAAATCACAGTTCTGTTGCCGATCTAACAAAAATGTTGAACTTCGTTCAAGTAGATTGTGGCAATTAAACAAGACACGAGTACTCTTTTCGTGGTAAAAAATGTATAAAAACAGTTGGTTGGTATCCGGCAGATCAGCCACGGTTTCCGCATGGTTAAATATACAATAGTGTCAAGTGAAGATGGCGGACTTACTGATTTATTACCAAGCTGTCGCACTCTGCACGGCAAGTACGCATGCCTTCCCAACTGGGCCGTGACGTTCGTGGGGGTGTTTGAGTCGAAGTACGGCCCCGTGTAAATCCCGTCGAACCTCTTCACCAACGAATGAGACCTTGTGCTCACCCCTGAAAAATTCCATGAATTTTTAAACCTTAAAGCACACACGAAACTTCCGCATGCAACTACCGAAAACGCGTAGAGGAGCTCCGATCACGCGAAGTCCTTCCGTTACAAATACGAGGTGAAACGAGGCGCATACAGTAGTATAATACAAGCGGTGTACATTATTCGATTCATGGCACCACCGAGTCGTCAGCCTAGTCTTCCTCATTGCCTACGTGAAACGATATTCATCTTACAGGAACACGTACGAAGTACCGCTAAACGCGGAGTATAGCGGAGCTTTATGGCAATTGAAACTTTGTGAACGACAACGTTCGGATTATCAAATACGAATTCCTTGACTCGCAATTGAATTCCGAAGTTCTTAGTTGAAACACGCTATTTCATTTTGCTTGCCGTTCGTACACTTAACGTTGCCGAGTAAAATGATCTGTTCGAACTCGAAGACGCAGTTTCGAATGATCGCTATCGAAATGTTGCAGACACATTTCGAACAACTGTGAACATTATTTGCTTGTCTTCCGTGCTGTTACGTCGTTCTACTTAATTCGCGTTGCACTGTTCTGTATTCTACAAGCACATCTCATTATTGTGCCGACTCTCGTGAACAAGTGCATATACTTGCTGCTGCACCACCGGCAATATTCTTCTTGTTCATAAATCTAATTAACCGGATCATGTTTAATTCATGTTCGGGAACAGTTTCTGCTTCTCCCGGAGAACGAATATCTTTCAAATTGCGCAACGAAGATGCGAAGGTAAAAGTTAAAAATAGCCAAGTTTGGTATATACATATAGTACAACCTCTCGAGACGGCTTGGAGACATCATTATAAAGTAAAGGGGTTAATACATTCCCATTTTCTTTTTACTATGCGACATTTCTTAGTCACGCAAAATAGTCTTCTTTTCTCATGGTAAAAGACCGATTAACGATCAAGATATTTTCTCGGAAAACGAAGCGCTGTACGAAACAGCGTCAAATGAGGTCGTCTCGGCACAGTACATAAATGGGGGCAAGAAAACACGCGACCAAGAACAAAGAAGTTTTATTTTAATTTCACGTTCCTTTTATATCCACTTATAAAAACTATATAATGCATAGAGATACGAAGGAAAGAATCGCGAAGAGCCGTGGTATATTTAGAAAGTTTCTGGGATCAATGAAAACTGTAATTCGCAGAAGGTCAATAGTGTATTCACGAAAGTCGTGTTATTCCTTGAAGAATGTCAACGTACAGTGACTCGTGAAAGTAATCACGGACCTCTTAAAAGGGAACAATTTTTTTAACATTGGACCGAACGACTTAAAGTTTCTTTACTTAAAGTTTATTACATGATGTTCAAACAAATTTTAAAAAATTGCTATTATTAGGGGGACCGGAAAGTAATGTCGTTTCTGCGCATATTTATCTGTTTGAATTTAATGTAAACAAACGACGTAACTTTCCGGTCCCTCTAATATTTGAAATGACAAGAATAATTAACACGTTCCGTGCCACGTGTACCATCGATGGTACACGCTTGCATGTTTACTTAGTGAACTGAACAAATTGTTTACAAGAAATTTAGAACCGAAGAATCAATTTCCACCGCAAGAATGGGCGTTGATAAGTTTTTGTTACGTTGTTATGTGTACGAGAATTAATAATTGCACGTAATACATCAAGTTTTAGTAAAATATCAAAGTGTGAAGATTCGAGTAAAAAAAGCTCGGCACGGAACGTGTTAAGACTCGAGCTACAAACAATTAAACGGTGCAAATATCGCGGTTTCTCACGATTTCCGCAAATTTCGATAACAGTTGAAGGACACGAATTTCTTAACTTTTACGCCACTCCAACAAATTATAATTTATAAAAAAAACATTGTTCGGGCTAACATTTTTCTGATAAGCTAGTCCCTATAAAAAGATTGAAGTCATTCGCTCCGATTTTGAAAAAGTTATTCCATTTTGAAAGGACGTTCGCATTATTTCGCGAAACACCGTGTCCACGCGCTCGCCTCCACCATTCGATGTTTACCGGAACGCGCGCGTAAGCGAGACATCCTAATAAAAATGAAAATCAATTAGCATAGTTCACGCGTTGCAGGCTCGAAACGAGCCCGCGGTTAAATTGAAAATCACCGTAGGGCGGTGGCGCGTCCCCGGTTCGCCGGCAGCCGCATAATATCGCTGTCGCGCGAATTCCTGAAAGGTGTTGCGACACGAAACATTTTGAGCTCGGCGCGCGAGCACGAAACGTTTACGAGTCCTCGAATCCCCGGGCAAACTTGAGCCTTAACCCCCCGAGCGCCCCTCGCATCTTAGACGGTTGCATTAACGTGGCACCGTGATCACGCCGGATTGTTATACCGGCTGAATTTACATTGTACCGGATCTCGGGCGCCGTGGCCATGATGGAATAATAAAAGGATCACCGGAATATAGTGTATTTCGCATTCGTGACGTCCATACACTCGCGGCTTCCTTCGCCTCCTCCCCACCACCCCGACTTTTCCCCGTCGCTTCTTGCCTTTCAGAATAAATCCTATCAGAGCTTCTGCCAAGCCATCGTGCCTTGGGGAAATGGATACTAATCCCGGGATTCCGATTCGAGGGATCCGAAGACGGATCAGCATTCGGCCCGAAAAGCAACGTGGGCTCCGTTCCAACGACCTTGAGGGCCCACATCCGGTCTACCGGCCGAAGGGTATAAAGGAGCCACGTATTTGTTCGCACATCATATTTCCCGTACGTGATATCATATCATACACGTCTTGATGCACACGACCCCCTTTTTTTCCATTACTCGCGAATTTCCCCCTCCCTCGAAGGATCAATTTGTCTCTTCGACTGCATTATGGATACGGGGATCGGCGAGGCTGAATCGAACGACCTTTTCCGAAATGTCATTGTTTATTCGTTCGAGAAGATACGGCGACGAGAGCTACTCGAGGACTACAGTGATGTCTCTCTAATTGACGCACAGATTGTCCACAAAAATGGACAATTCAGGGAGAAGAGAGACGATTATTCGATCCTTGCGGTTCATTTTTGTAGTCACGAATTGTCAACAACTATAAAAACGAGCTGCAAAGCTCGAATAATAGTATCTCCTCTTCCCAAATTGTCCATTTTTGTGCACAATACAGTAATGTTTCCCTTACTGACGCTCAGATTGTCCACTAAATTGGATAATTTGGGAAGAAGAGATACGATTATTCGAGCCTTGCGGCTTGTTTTTATAATTGTGGACAATTTATAACTATAAAAATAAACCGCAAGGCTCGAATAATCGTATTTCCTCTTCCCAAATTGTCCATTTTTGTGCGCAATCTGGGCGTCAATTAGAGAGACATTACTGTATAAGCGTCAGTTAGGGAGACATTACTATACATGGCTTCTCATTTATTTGTGCTTAACGATTGAAATCTTTATTTCGTAACGTTTGTTGTAATTTAGTTTAGAATAATTGTATTGGCTAGCGTGCATCGTCGATGATAAAGATAACGAAGGAATGACCTTATTGGTTCGATTTTGCTACTTATTTCAATGACGATGCATGAATATCAAGCTGATATAATGCGGAACTCGAAGGAAATATGTTGGTTATTGAATCGACATTTATAAAATAAGATCAACGACGCCCGCAACTAAGTTCTCTCTGTAATTATTGGATTATTAATTCTATATACATACATTAATAGAAACTGGTACGAACAGCAATAATATTTGTGTGGAACAATAGCATGGCTTCTTTTTTCATTTTCAATCGTTAAGGTTTACGTAAAAGAAAATCTTGATTCCGATATATACTAGTCTCAAAGGAAAATAAATTTCAATAATATAATAATGCATTAATACGAAAGTGAGACACAATGTAACCATAGTAGAAAAGGTTCGATATGATTTCAAACGCTACAACTTTCATTATTACAGTATTCAAAATGATTACTGTATACAGTAATGTCTCCTTTACTGACGCTCAAATTGTCCACTAAAATGAATTTGGGAAGAGGAGATGCGATTATTCGAGCCTTGCGGCTCGTTTTTATAATTGTGGACAATTTATAACTATAAAAATAAACCGCAAGGCTCGAATAATCGTATCTCCTCTTCCCAAAATGTCTATTTTTGTGGTCAATCTGGGCGTCATTACTGTATCTATAAATCTCATCTGTAGACATTAATCGGATCTAACATTTCCGGTGATGCAAAAAGTTAGAATAATACAATTGATATGCATACACGTGGTCGATTAATTTCTCCGACGTCATTACACGACCCCATTGCACGCGATAGTAGAAGGGACTCTTCGAAGTTTTTATGTGGAGAGTGTAAGATGGAGTACGGCTGTATAGTGGCTATTAAGTCCAAGCATTACAAGTTGTTTTGCTTTCTGACCATGAAGCTAATTGCAATTTAAAAAGTCGTAAGCTCCGGATGAGTATTGCAAAATTGAAGTCTAAGAACTGGCAGAACATTCTCGCGTTTAATTGAAATACTTATCCGCTTCGTTTACGATAATACTGAGTACACACTCCTTAGTTCTTAAAACTATGTAAAGCGTGCATCCGTATCCGGCAACCATTTAAACTCGAGTTTCATGTAAAACGAGCTCTTGAGGACATTTTAGGCTGCGTCACTTGTTCTTTCATGTAAAATCGGTACATAGTTAGGTACCGAAATTGTTGGATGCAACGAGTGTTTAGTTATCGATCGCAAAGACATAGTAGACATCTGATCGAGCCGAAGTGTTAATTAAGTTTAACAAGATTTTTTGATCTTGAATACAGCCTTTTATTAGTCAAAATATTCATTATCTCTGTAATTATCTCTATAGTTCAACTTATGATTCAGCTTATGAACAATAATTTGTTACAGCTACGATGTGATGTATCCTCAGGCCTAGTCAATGAAACGGTGACACACTATATAACTGTTTAAAAACTGTCTCACATTTTCATATAAATATGTGAAAAAATTTCAAATCTAAGGAAAAATGTGATCCTTTATTTGC